ATTATAGCAGGAGATTTCAATATAAGGGTGGGAAGCTAGCAGATAAGCAAGGGTAAAAAGAGGAATTCGGAGAACAAAAAACGACGCGGGAGGGAATAAAACTGATAGAAAACCTGAAGTACTGTAACGCGGAAATAAAAAACGGATGTATCAACGGAGACGAAAGGGGGAGAATTACTTTTATTGGGGAGGCGGGCTCATCGGTCCTCGATTTGGTAATAAACGGAAGAATTGGGCTGTCAAAGATAGTGATGGGGATGGAAATAATAACACGGATAGAATCTGACCACTTACCAGTAATTTTCGAGTTAGGAAAAGGTGAAAAAAGGAAGGAGGAAGGGAGCGGAGAGGCCAGAGAAAGACTTATATGGATATGGAGGAAAGAAAGGGCAGAGGAATACGAGGATTTGATGGGGAAAAAATGGTGGGCAGAAGAACGGGGGGGGGGGGGGAATCAGCACAGGAAAAATGGTATAATTTGGTACAGAAAATAAAAGTAACAGCCGAAGAATTGAAAATGAAATGTAATGGAAGGGGGGCGGGAGAGGTCGAACAAAAACAAAGAAAGCGAGATATGGATGCAAAAAAGAGAGTATGGGTTTGAATATATGGAAAGCAGACAGAATGGAGGAGAAGAGAGAAGCTTTTTAAAGAGAGAAAAGCAAATTAAAAGAGATGATATCAAGAAATGTAAGGAACGCAAACGAGATAAAAATCAAAATCATGGCAGCGAACAAGGACATGGAGGAATTCTGGAAGGTTGTAAATAAAGAAAGACTGAAGAGAAGCAGAATGGAGGAAATAATTAAAAGAGAGGAGTGGGCCGAGCACTTCAAGAATTTACTAGGAGCAACAGGGGAAGGGAGGAAGAATCCGAACGACGAGGGAAGCACGAACGAGCGGGGGGGGGGGGAAGCGTGAACCAGGTGGGAAACGCTAACAAGGGGACAGAAGAGGGGGAGATAGAGGACATTTTAAACAGGCGGATAAGTGAGAAAGAATTTAGAGATGCTTTGAAATAAATGAAAAACGGAAAAGCAACGGGTCAGAACGGACTGTCCATTGAATTCATAAAGGGGCTATCGGATAGTTGGATAAAAACAATAATAGAAATTTTCAATGAATTATGGGACAAGAGCGAGATTTTAGGGGGATGGGAAATAACACGAATTTACCCAATATTTAAAAGTAGTAAAGAGAAGGAGACTAAAAATTATAAGGGGTATCGCTGCTAAACGTGAGCTATAAATTAATGACGAAAATAATAGTCGGAAAAATCAGTGAATGGGCAGAGAGCAATAAGGTATACGAGGTGTGTTCAAAAAGTAAGGTGACTTTTTAAATTTCACGGGCAACTTACTTTCGATTATCCATTTTGTTGTTTTGTTATGTTGGTACACTCTTCCCGAACATCTGTACCAAGTTTCAAGTGTATAGAATTTTTTGTTTGGTTGTGAGAGGCGTAAAGGTTATAAGTGTTTTGCGTGCTCGGCGATTTCTTGCTATCGAAAAATATGGATCAAAGGATTTGCATCAAATTGTGTGTAAAAAATAAATTAAAGTGCTCCGAAACACTTGAAATGTTGACGGTGGCATACGGTGAAACAGTTCTGAGTAAAAAAAATGTTTACAAGTGGTACAAACTCTTCCAAGATGGCCGGGAAGATGCCAATGATGAGCCTCGCTCTGGACGCCCAAGCTCGTCAACAACTGATGAAAACGTTCAAGTAGTGAAGAAAATTGTTCTGGAAAATCGTCGAATCACTATCAGAGAAGTTGCTGAGGATGTTGGTATATCGCTTGGCTCGTGCCATGAAATTTTTTCTAACGTTTTGGGCATGAGACGTGTGTCAGCGAAGTTTGTTCCGAAATTGCTAAATTTTGACCAAAAGAACCGTCGCATGAGCATCGCTCAAGAACTGTTGAATGACGTCTACGACGACCCAGATTTACTCAAAAGGGTCATAACTGGTGACGAATCATGGGTATATGGTTATGATATCGAAACCAAAGTCCAATCGTCCCAATGGAAGAGCCCAGATGAGCCAAGACCGAAAAAAGCACGCCAAGTTCGATCAAATGTCAAAGTTGTGCTCACTGTTTTCTTCGATTACTATGGCGTGGTGCATCAGGAGTTCTTACCATATGGACGTACGGTCAATAAACAGTATTATCTTGAAGTTATGCGCCGTTTACGAGAAGCAGTACGAAGAAAACGCCCAGAATTGTGGAAAAACAATTCATGGCTTTTTCATCACGATAATGCCCCTGCTCACTCATCTTTGCTTGTGAGAGATTTTTTGGCCAAAAACAACACCACAATCATGCCTCAGCCACCATATTCACCGGATTTGGCCCCATGTGACTTTTTCTTGTTCCCAAAACTAAAGAGACCTGTGAAAGGACGGAGATTTGCAACGATTGAAGAGATAAAGACTGCATCGCTGGAAGAGCTCAAGGCTATACCGAAAAGTGCTTATGAGAAGTGCTTTGAGGATTGGAAAAACCGTTGGCATAAGTGTATTGTATCTGAGGGGGATTACTTTGAAGGGGACAACATAAATATTGATAAATAAATAAATATTTTTTCTTAAAAATACAAAGTCACCTTACTTTTTGAATACACCTCGTACAGGGAAAGCCCATTTTGTGCGCATTGCGCTTTACACTAGCTCACATGTATTTCGTTTTTTTTCTCTTTCTCTTATTCGTTACGATTAACAAGCTTGACGACTTGTTAATATTAGCGTGTGCCTAAATTTCTCAACCGAAGTCGTTGCATGTTATTATCGTCAGGATAAATTAACCGCTTTTATTGTATTTCATGTCATGATAGTCTAGCTAACTTCCTACTAATCTACGCTCGCAGTAGTGAATCTTTAATCCGACTCTATTCATCTTTAGTTTTACTTTGTGATTTTATGTTCATTTTTAATAGCGCGAAATGTGTATGCACCCGCACGAAGCATGCTAGGAATGGATCGAGGCGGCGGTTATCCTCGCAGCGAGTGATGAAACTTCTATAACAGCGTTAAGGGGGTATCCCTCAATAGATCGATGAAAAAAGTCTTTTTTTTTTGCATAGATCGAAAGTACATCATTTCAAGAATGTGCTGTTAAAATATTGGACCGAAATTCAGAGCGGTTCAGCCGCTATAGCTATTTTCGTATAGAAACTCTGGCGCGCAGAGCAGGTAGGCAGCTGCGCGCTCGAGCGGCAAGGCGCCCCGCTGGGCGGTGCGCTGCAGTTCGCTTCCTACTTATAATATACAATGGATTAGATGTTTCTCGATCTTCCTTTGTATAAACTGTACGTTCGTTTACAGGGTCAGGCTAGGTGTAGCATAGTAGGTACAAAGATTTCTGGGGAAAGGTAGGGATTCGTTTGGGAGACCGTTACTACAGTTTGCTCAGTTTTATTTCGGCTTTTGGGTAGTGAGCATCGTGTTTCTAGTTTTTACAATTTGAAAATGAGTACTAGTTATCCTAAGGGCGAAAAAGAAGAAGGCTATCGTGCCGCAAAGAGACGAAGATCTTTCCGCGGTAATCAATTCTCAACTAAAGAAGGCGAGCAAGTAGGCATCAATGCAAGTGCACGAAAATTGGCATCGGCGTCTCTTGAAGATGTTCCAGTAAACGCTAGTCATAGATATCGCATAATAGAGTGTATGACGCTGTTTCTTACACTTTCACAAACTCTCTGCTGCCAAAAGTGTAAGAGGCATGTGGGGTTTGAAGAACAAATGCGGCAAACAGGCTTTGGATGGAAATTAGTACTCACGTGCAGGTGTGGCACAACGGCTATTGATACAAGCCCGTATATAAATAACGGTTACGAAGTGAATCGACGAATAGTCTTTGTTATGAGACTGCTAGGCATAGGTATGAAGGGGATAAATTTATTTAAACTGTTGAAATTGCCGCTCATACAGCTGCTGTACTCTTCAATAACGGATTCTATGGTGTACTAAGAATTATGAATTCGCTGCAGTTCAAGATCGGGCTATCCGCAGCCAACTACGCGAAGAGCGCTGACGATGAGTGCGTGAAGCGTCAAGAAATCCGCAGCCAAGAATCCACAAAAGCAGCTAGGACTGCTAAAAAACTAAAAGCTGCGAAGTCAAATCAACAGTATGATGAAGAAGAAGGTATCCTTTATGGTGCTGGTATTGCTGATTGAGTGAAAACCAATTTTATTCGATGTGAGTATGAAAAAAAATTCCGTTTTCGCCTGCTGTAAACTTTAAACGCGTTTATCTCCGGATCATTTTTTTTCGATTTGTCGATTTGGCGGGCGCTCTTACTCAGCGAATTTTCAACTTAAAAAAAAAAATACCATTTGAACGGAAATTAAATAATCTCGTCGATGTACCTATAAAATTCTGTCAATTATTGTTTGTTAACCGCTTTTTTGCATGAACAATAACAAAAAAAATATATTTTTTTTAAAAAAAAATATATTTTTTTTTTTAAAAGTCCGCCATTTTGTTAAATAATTTTTCCGAGCAATAAATTTAGGTTCATCGACGAGAAATATGTCTAATGAAACTAAAAAAATGTTTCTGTATGTTTCAGAGTGATTGGAAAGCCAGGATTTGAACCGCCAAAAAGGAAAAAAAAAAAAGTTTATAACTTTGAACGAGTACTGCACATTTGTTTATTACAATATTTCTTTAAAAAATTTTTTTTCTAATTTGTTAAAATTTCAGTAAAACACAGTCTAAATTTCATGAAAAAATATTGAATAGTTTTCTTTTAAAAAATTCCCAAAGTTTTCGTCGATTTTCTGCGATCTATTGAGGGATACCCCCTTAAATAACTGATCTATTCAACCTCATCGTTACAAACTTTATATGCAATTTGACATATCATAAAGTTGTACAAATTAAGAAAAGTTTTTATATTTTAATGTATGATCATTGTAATTTCAAAATGTTTTTATGATTTTTAATTTCTAATTTCTAGATTAATATTTTTTGTTTATTGATTTTTTCAAATAGGGCAACAAAGTATACAAATACCTCCACGGCCATCTAGTAATCAATCAGATAATAGTAATCCTACACGCCTTAGTTTGTCACCTCTTACAAATCAAGGTTAGTATTAAAAAATATCCAATTCATTATGTATAATGCAACGGGATTTTATTTTTATTATCGGATAAATAGGGCAATTAGGTAAAATGGATCGTTTGTCTAGATGACGAAATGGATCGTTTGCGGTGTTATTTCCATTCTAGTTAGCATTAGCGTACCACTTGACGGTGGTCCGTTAAAAGTAAGTGCTGTAACGCTATTTGCCGTATTTACTGCCTAGAGTATATGCTACCAAGAAATCACGAACGAACCCGTCTTGACTTTCTTTCGTAAGGACCCGACACGAAACGAATGCAAACATTTCTGTTGAATAGGTTCAAATTTTAAGATGAAGTAGCTCTTATCGTGTACATCAATTGTCTCCATGAGCACAAAGGTTGCTTATACTAGCTGTAAATTGCGGGTCATGAGTGATCGTGTTTAATATTATTCCCATAGTTATATATGCGTATATATGGATATGTGTCTGTGTGTACGCACGCGCACGTGTGTGTATTATATACCCACCTTTACATTTTTAGAGGCGTTGTAACAGTCTGTTCGATGGTCCTTTTCAGGATAGATGAAGCTTATTTGCAGCTTTTATAATCATATTTCGATTAGACTTTTCTAGCAGTACATTCAATTCAGAATAATAGACTAATGACTATTCGTGTTCAAGTGGAATATTATATCTGTGAAGTCAAGTAGTTACGACGTATAACAGTGTTCATAGCCGGTATTGATAACGCTGTTTTACGTAAAATCGCCGTAACAAGACATGAGGAAAATGGCAGACATTTACCTAAAATTGCACATGATATTTGGATCTACAATACTTGTATAATAACAATCCATCAGAAAATAGATTATTAACTATACATTATTAAATATTTATTAACTTAATCCGCATTAAATATATATTAACTTAATATTAACTTAAATATAACTTAAATATATATTAACTTTATATTAACTTAAATATAACTTAAATATATATTAACTTAATATTAACTTAAATATAACTTAAATATATATTAACTTAATATTAACTGATAATCCAGTTGTTTACGCCTGAATGAAAAATAAGGCTGCAGTTGAACACTTATAGCTCGAAATCTAATCATAGGCGATCTTTGTGCTCATAGAGACTTTTGATGTACATGACAAGAGATACTTTATTCCAAAGTTTGAACCAATTCAATAGAAATTTTTTTCTCGTTCGTTTTATGCGAGATTCTTTCATGATTTAGTTGATTTGGCGGAAAAAACGAGAGACTAGCGTATAAACGCATAAACGCAAACACATGACTAAAAGTGTTTCATGCAATTATTGAAACAGATGCGAACAATAAGTTATTTCTCCTACTACTCTCGTAAGTCGAAAATGATATTATTTCCTTTTGGCTCCTGTGTGTCACCTTTTTGAGTCGATATTAGATATTCCTTAGTGCTTTTTGACGGAAGAAATAAAAAATATCAATGTGCACTTGACAACTGACGAAAGCCGCCGAACCTACTTGAGTTTTCTCTCACTTTCTCTCTCTCTCTCTCTATTGCGCGCGTATTATAAGTTATCAGTTTATAAGCTGGATAATGTTGCCTTCGTGTTGAATGATGGTGGTCGAGACAAACAAGTGTTTTAAAGCCACTCGTTATAATAAATGTAGCTATTGCAACTTTTCTCGTATATTATGACGGAAGAAATTCAAGAAGTCTACAAAATTTTAACAAACGCTTGTAGTACAAGAATATCCAAGCCCTGTTATTTTAAGATGTTAAAGTTTATTAGTGACATTAGAGCAAACTTTATTATTTATATAAGCATTTTCTTGTTAGCAAACAGTGCAATTAAATCACAACATAAAAAGTACCATAATTAAACAAAATTAGATCTTAGTAAAACTAATAGGCAACAAAGTGTGATAGAGATATTATAAATAAATTAAAAAAATATCATCGATAACAAAATTAATTGTTCCACAAAAAATAAATACTCGTAAAAAATAATTTGTTACGATGAAATTATATTATAAGCCGTTCATTATATTTCACCACACTATGTATATAATGATATCGTTCCTCTAAACAGGCAGTACAGCGCCACATTTTCTGTCTATGGAGTAAGTTGTTTTACGCATGCCCAATACAGTTTTTACGATTTCATCTGTGGCCAGATTAATGAATCGTTTCAATATATCTACCTGAATTACTTTAAAACTGAACTGACTTAATAATGAACTCAATTAATAAAATTACTTGTATCTGATGTCCGTCTAATTACTTTATTTCCGTCTTCACAATTGTTTCTATTGCGGAGAGAATAAGAGGTAAATGACCTAATCGTAATAAAAACACCAAAAAATCTTTATAATCTCAAATTTAAACTAAACTCACGCGACACCATTGTTATATGCATTGATACACAATACAAGTGAAAATTATTATACGCATACACATACATTCATAAAAACGATCATGTGTATGAATGATAACTGTTAATCACGATAATTATGTGATAAGAGAAAATGAATTAACACGAAATATATGTATATTTGTATATAAATAACATCTGAAGAATGTATATATGAATGAGACTTGAAAAATTTACGTACGCACGATACTCAAGGAATGGATTTATAAATAACGTTTGAAGGATGTATATATTATGCGTTAGTATTGATTAGTATGAATGTTGATTCATACGAGTCTTAATGTTAGAAAACGATTATGTAATTTTTCGGTAGATTTGATAATGGGCGCGCACATATTCGGATCTTATTTATCCTTTTGTACGACGAGAACACGTTAGATTATGCCAAAGTCTTTAAATTATTTATCGAGCAAAATAAGCAGTGCGTAGTACTTTAATTTACGTATTTGCTATAAATTATGTATTTATTCATAGACCGGGTATCTGCAATATTTTTGAATCAATAAAATTAGCATGTTCTCAATTATCAACGGTTCAAGTGTTACCGTCGTATTATAGTGAGCAACTACATAAGCCAGTCTTATTGCTCTGCATCTCATAGATACTATTACCATCGATCGTTCTCATGTAAACGTGTGCTACGTCAGAATGAAATGTATTCATCAGCACGCACATACATACATACACGCACCCCCGCGCACAAGGCAGTTTTCACAAATATATATAAAAGGTGCTACAAAGTAATACCGGCTTTCGACAGAAAAAATGAGAGTACGAACTTCCCTCTCCCAACCCCATCAATTATTTTTTACTTAGTGTATTCCTCGATGTTTGATCTTTTCAATCTATAATCTAATATCCTTCGGTCCTTTTCACAAAATAAATTTTAAAAGTTCTACTTTCGAATTATAATCGATCGATTTATAACTTTCATTGCTGTTTATATTTATTTGATGCTTAGCTTCATAACAAATATGTTAAATATACATAAGTAAATGTATATGTCCAGGATATGTATTTGGAGTGCATTAAGATTTTTTTATCAATTATTTTAAGGTTAGGTCATTCAAGAACTGCGAGCGTTATTATTTTTTGATTTCTAATGAATTGTCTTATTTATTTTTCACCCGTTTAACTAATTGATAACAAATCAATGTAATACGTTTCAAGCTATTAATTAGCACGTGTAATCAACTTACATTAGTAAATACATTGGATATCATGTATATATCTATGTACATATTACAAAATAGTACCTTTTTTTTGTTTTATTTAACGTCGCTCAATTTATGCTCTATTAGTGCTAATCAGCGACGGATGCTTGCAATATGTTTGAGGACAAAGCACACGAAACTTTTTTTAGTGGTGCTTGTATCAATCAACAGGGACTGGTAATCGAATCCGGGCCTACCGGGTGCAAGTCCGTCGCCCTACCGACCGAGCCATTGCAGACCTCAAAAAAAATAGTACCCTAAGTGACTATCTTTCAGTCAATGAGGTCCCGTTCTTTTAGATTTGAATATTATTACCTAGAGAGGTTACATTAGTATTTCCAATTATAAAGTCTGAAACGAATAATCTTCCGAATAACATGAAACATGACGAAAGTGTTTTTTATTTGACAATTTTAGAAAATTTATGATATTCGATTTTTTAGAAGAGTTATAAAAGATTAATTATTTTTTAACTTTTGTAACGAAATTAAATTCAGAAAAAATATTAAAATAACCAGAAGCCAAAATAAAAGATAATTATTAAATAACCTTAAGTAATGAGAACTAGCGCCTTTCACTATCTTTTTTTTAAAGATTTATCTCATTCCTGACTGCTGCAATGGCTCAAGGAGCCTCCACTACATTCTCTGGCTTCCTAAAGTGCCCGAAGTGCATCTTTATTAAAAAAGATACACTTCGGGCTTGAAATACAAGCCGTGATGCACACGAAGTACCGTTCACGTCCATTCATTTACTCCATAGTTTATCGACGGACTGATAGATAGTTTTGGAAAATAAACTAAAAATATGTGTAATATTTGAAATAAAATTTGAAAATGTACTTTTGAGTCCCTTCAACTTATTTTGAGCGACTCGGTTATTTTCGTTAACACTATTATACAAGGATTACGCGATTCCGCGAAAGGTAACGTATCTAATGTTAATGTTTTCTTGCTACACCTAGCGTGATTAAATACACAATTTGTTTGAATAAAATACAAAGGTGAGTACTGAGTTGGAAACAGAAAAAAATGTCAGAAAGAGTGAAAGAAAGAGTACGAGAAGTGTAATTAGAGAAAAGAGTACGAGAGAAGAAGTAGAAAGTGAAAGATTGAAAGAAAGAAGAAAGGCAAAGGATGGGCGAAAAAAGAAAAATAGCAGAACAAAAAGGTTTTCTCTTTCGCTCGCTCAATGATCGTGCGCGACCTCTAGAATTTATACAAATTATAATTATTATTATATCAGAAAGCTAGAGTCAGGTATTTTTAACATAAAATCGTATTCTTGGCCCACCTTCATTTCAAGCGGAATCCGAGATATTTTGACAATTTATTTCACTTTCGCGTGCACGAGAAAATTACGAGTGCGCAATG